CCCTCCTGCTTCCAGACCGGTCCACTCCAGTTTGAGAGAGGGGGTTGTGTTTTCTAGCTTGCAGAAATGTTTTATTTACAATTTAATTAAAATATGTCAGCAACAGAAGACTTTTCCATCCAGCCTTTACATGTTGGAGCCAGAGTCTGACCCAGAACCAGAGCAGAATTAAGATGAGGAAATTTTAGTCCTAAGTCCAGACCTTTTTTGTCGCAGATAATTTGACGTAATAGTTCAGAAAGCATCGTAGAAAATAGAGAAAACTGAACAGGCTGAAAAATACTACCCAGACTGAATTTAAAKATGTCTTTGCACCAGGAGAGACTAAATTAAAATTTTCTGCCTCCTAGAAACTCCTAAGTCCACAACTAAATGTATTTAACAGCTATATGTCCCCTTTAAGGTTACATTGTCTGAGCTTAGTCAGTATATTTGTTAGAGGGTTTGTGCGAATTGATCCTGAGCAGCTCTCAGCTCAAACCCAAGCACAAGCTCCCCTCACCTTCTTAACTAGGCTGCAGTTGGTTTGTAATTAAACTGTGWAAAGTGTTGGTGTTTAGATTTCTCTAGAGAGAGACAGATACAAACACACTGCTGTTCCCTTTGGGTGTATCAATTTAAAGCAGAATAAAACCCATGAAACCATTGGGTTGTCGTTTAAGTAGACCATTTCACAATGCTTTTTCTATCAGCATGAGGCATGTGCTTGAATGCAGTTGCTTTAATAACAAGCCGAACTAGAGAAATTGCATTTCCTGCGAAACTGCTAGTGTTACTGCTCATTGCTCAAAGCTTTAGCAGAAAGCTGCTGAAATGGAGCTGAAAATGTTTATTAGAAGAGTTAATGTGAGTTCACTTCGAACAGATGAAAGAAGCACAAAAAGGTGGAAACTAACAGAAGAAAAGCAGAAAGGAGCATTAAAGCATAAAAACAAAAATTAGCATTAAAAACAAGCCAAAGGTAGCAGACACAAGTAGGCCTGCCGCAAACGATTATTTTTATCGTCGACAAAACACCGATTATTTTTTCGATTAGTCGACTAATCGGATCGTACGATAATTGAATATAAAACATCTTATCGCGCCAGAATACAGCTGCTATTATATAACCATTAGTGCTGTACCAAACGATTATTTTCTAATCGATTAATCTAACGATTATTTTTTCGATTAATCGATTA